GAAAACTATAATCAGTCCGACCATTATGGGTCGGATTGGTAACCGACTTTATTAGGTAAATAATGAGTGGTTGGTTGATATTATCGACTATCTGCTTATGGTTTTTTTTATTGTTTTTATTTACAATAATAAGATATTTTTAAAAGTTTTTTTCAAAAGATATTCAAAAAAAATTCAGAAAACTCGTGTTATAAAAAATTTAGCTTTAAAATTAAGATTTTTTTTAGTTAAACTTCTACGATAAGTAAATATATAATGAAGAATATGAAATAAGAATTATAAAATAGAAATAGTACGGAGAGGTTTATAAATTTATGTTTTGAATTTTTGAGTTTTAACGTCTTTTATATATTATTTTAACATTAAAAAAAGTAAGAATTACAATTTAATATTTATAAAAAAAATTAAAAAAAAGTCGGTTGGCCGATAGTATCGGCCATCCAACTTTTGAGTAAACTGAAAACAATCGGCCAACCCATCGAAAAAATCATTACCCGAAAGAAGCGGATTGAAAGTGGTCAATTGGCCGATAAAACCTATCGATGTCCAACACTAGTATATATAATATGAGCCCATACCACAACTGAACAAGAAAAAGTGTCAGAAATATTAGTTGTCAGTGTTCGATTTATACATAATATTGTTTGTTACCTTTTCAGTAGGTGATCCAATTACTCAACATATGATCTTATTTAAATACTAGTACACGAATTAATCAGCAAAATTTATAATCAATTGAATTAACACAACTGCCAAAAATAAGAAAGCAATGGTACTTAATTAATAAATTATGAGATGCTGAACTAATCAGAAATGAAAACATTTGACTTAATTAATTAAACTTGGAGAAAATGACAAATGATTGTGATATATATACACACAAAATGATGAAATAATCGTGAAATCTTTGTTTGTTAATATAGTGAAATTACGGATAGATGGATGTGTTTTTCATAATTTAGCCTATGTTCAGGGGTTTTAAGTAATTAACCCTTTCTGTAAATAGTTTTTATAAATGGGCTTACAAAATTCAAATATGATATAAATGGGCCATTTAAAGAATAGCTCTTAATGGGCCGAGTTTGGGGCTTGAATTATAAGTCAAAACGTCGCCGCATTACTATTTGTTGACGTTTTGACTTATAATTCAAGCTCTTAATGGGCCGAGTTTGCACCAATTCCACATTTGGCGCCTCATATTCACAAAAAAATATATTTGGTCCCTCATGTTTCAAACATTCAACATTTTTAGCCCTTCCCGTCAAATTTTTGTTAGTAATAACGGAATCAAACGTGTGTTGATAACTGCTTTAACTGACGAACTAACGGTAAATTGATGAAAATGACCAAAAATGTTGAATTATTGAAACACGAGGGATCAAATGTGTTTTTTGTTAATATGGGGGACTAAATGTAAAATCGATACAAACTTGAGGGATGAAAACTTAATTTTCCCATAAAACTGATAACAAATAATTCAGTATGTATTTACATAAAATTAACACAAAATTAATAACGTTATTGCCGATCAACATTTCAATGCTCCACAACTTTTGTTCAATAACGAACTAATCTTCTTTCTATTAAAACCAGGCAACACTTAATTCAAACTCTTTCTTTTTTCTTAATTTTATTTTAAAGGGAATTAATAAATAAATAAATAAAAAGATTATTAAATAATTGGGAGCAAAATATATATACACTAGTCATCATGAT